TTTCAACCCAGGCCATTTTATGATTCTATGATTCAAAACGGTTCAAAAAAAGGAAAGGCTCACATGCTACATGGGAATTGGAGCTTGGGCAGTGGAAAATTGTCAGCGCAAGCAACCCTCCTGTCCTTGCAGCACCACAGTGGGATTTGCACAATGGGCTTCAGAACAGTGCACCACTGGTGTTAAGTCCCTCCTCAAATTTCTTCAGAGACCCAGACAAGGTGTGGGATTAATAAGTAATTTATCCCTGACTGCTGCAAGCATTTCCACCTTTGCTCTAGATACTGGATTCTTAAACAATGGTTTAAGAATGATTTAAAGGGTTTCAACTCTAACTGAAGTAGATGTAGCTTACCAATTATCATTCACACAGGCAGTGCTCAGTACACCTTGGGGACTTGAAGTCAACTCAAGAAGTCTCCTTCTGTCCCACGAATACTGTATTTCTTTTTTTGTCAGAATACAGGCAACACACCAAAAGAAGGAATCCAAACTCTACTGTCAACCCCAAGTGCAGCACAGCCTATGGCTTGGTAGTGAGCAAAAGAAAGAAATAGAACTCATAGAAACTGTAAGAATACCTCTATTCAATCTATTTATAGAAGCCAGAAACATTTATAACGCACACACAAAACAAACAAACAAACCTCTTTTACACTTTTTGTATCTTTGAAAGCACTTTCCTTGCTTTTGTCCTAATCTGCAGGGGAGCTGTGACAGATCTATACATCACTGCTCATTTCTCCTATTCCTTGCCACTCATGAGTTCTGCGGCACTACACAGCAGAGACACAGTCTGAAACACCATTTCCTTAGGAAGTGTGCTGAAGAGAGACATAGTGCCCAACAATATAAAATCCAGGGCTTCATTCTATCTGTGGATGCTGACTCCCTCTGATCTAAAAAGAAAGACAGTGAATATACCACAGAAGAGCCAAGTGTTCTAAGTGCTTAATCTTAGCAACATTCTTCTCATTCCAAAAACCTCGTAAGAACCTTCAGGAAGGAAAACTCTACCTTGTAGGACAAGGACACAAACAATTGGGCCTATTCTTTAGTTTTCCTTGGTCTTTTTGTCTGCACATTTCAGAGCTAATAAAGTAAGGCACCCGGGCGGACATAAACTTGTTTTGGGAATTATCCATTACATATATTACATTAATTCTTCTGGTTTTATTCAGCATATTCACAAACTGGCATGCCAATAGATCTTCACCATTCCAGCACTGTCTTTTTTTCCCCCCTGCTTTTTACAAATAAATAAATAAATGAAACACCATCAATACTTTCATTGTCAATACAGACAATTATAGGAACAAAATGGGATTTACAAAATTACTACATGAATAAAGCTAACACGTGCAATACACAAATAAAGCAGTCTGCATTTTGCCACCCGTAAATCCTGCACACTGGTAAAATCAATGTAATGTAGCAGAAAGGCCTCTGGTGTTGAACTGTGTGCAGCATTAATTTCTACTACATGAGGAAAATTGAGAAATCCATATCATAGAAAGTTGTCTTTTTCTTTTTCATGAAGTTCTGTGATTGACGCTTTAGCTGGAAAACCTTAGAACGTAACCCAACGTTAGATCAAAGATTTTATATTCCAAAGACTCTGCTTCACATTTAGAAAAACATTTCCTGTTCATTGCCAGTTCTGCTCTGCAACAGGACAACAGAGAATTTGTTATACTTTCATCTTAGCTGCCTACAAGATCTCACATGTGAAGATCTTCGTGCCTCTACTTTCTACTTGAAAAAAAATACTGTAGTCCATTCTCTTCATCTCTGAAGTGTTTTCCAGGCACAATTCAAACCCAGAATACAAAACTTCTATCACAGCACCAGACAGTTCTAATTGATTCCCATTCAAAGCTAGGCTTATTGGGAAAGAGCCAGCCACTATTTTCTTGCATAAGACCACAGAGAATGGCTAGAACAGATCTATATGGATAAGGCATCCCAAACACATGCCAGAAACAGGGTGCTATTTCTGGCTTGCCATGGACTCACAGTCCTGGTGCTGAGGACTTCCTGCTTGTCTGTTGCTACAAAGGGCAAAGCCAGCCCACCTCACTGCTGTTCTTGATTTACACAGCTCCTGTATTTTGGTAATTCATTATGATAAGAGGGTATGAAGAGTAAAGAGGAGAGTGAGGAGTACTAGTTGTTTCACAAGAGGGGTAAAGGGGCAGGGAGACTCTATTGCTGTCCTGCCATAGCTTGTGTCCTGCAGCAGCTTTCTTGGTAGGAAGTAGAAGAGACAGTGGAGGACAAACACTGCAGACAAGTTGAAATACAAGAGTTTTTAGAGCCCTGGAGAACAGAGACAGCTGGAAGACAGAGGAAACCTACAAATTTAAAAAAAAAAAAAAAAAAAAAAAAAAAAGAACAAAGGAAAAAGTCATTTGGAAGTGTAGGGAAGGGCAATTGGGAGAAAGAGGTGGAGAGAGAAGGAGACCAATCTAATTTTGAAGAATAATTAATGCATTACAAATAGATTGGTTTGATTTGCAGAGGTGAGAGGGTTATGTCATGAATTGATTTGGAGGACAAAATTAATCAATGAGTTAGTGGTACTACTCAGCTTTAAAATGTTTACTTATGCTAGACAAAGAATCAGATTCCCAGAGGAGGGATTCAGTTTTTATAGATAAATTCCTTCATGGTGCCATGCTCCATAAATGAATTAATGAGCAGTTTACTGTTAAACAATTAAGCATTACATGACTTGATTATTTTGATTTCAAAATTAAAGACTAAAATCTTTAATTTAGGCTCAATCTCTGGAGAAATAAACTGGGGCCATTACAGCAGCAGCAACACGTAAATGAGAATTTTACAGTTGTCCCCCTTGCTGGTCCAATAAAACCTCTCCTCTGGTCTCAAAATTAGGCCATCTGGTAGTACACATAGGTCAAAGTCTGCAGGTTAGCCTAACTAAGATACTAGTAAGGTGATCATAGCAGGGAAGAGAAGAATTCCCACATAACCAGAGAAGTCTAACAGCAGAACAAAAATACTCCCCAAAGAAAGGAGTTTTCCAGGTGTCTGAATTCCTGTGAAATTATGACTTTAAAGCTGCTGACATCTTTATTGCATTAGTAAAACTAAGCAAATAGTAAAGCTACCTAAATAAGTCTTCCTCTTCCCCAAAGGCAGCAAGAAAAGTTGAGGCCCCAATTCAGGAGGAGTACCACCAGTACATCTTCAAGAGTGACAATGGTAGCCAAATCCTGCCCAGTCAGAGGCTGCTGTGGGGTCAGAGTAAGTGCAGTGACCTGGCCCATGGAGGAACAAATCTGAAGATAGCCTAAATAAAAATTTGGAAAAAGATACCTCATGGACCTGCGAGAAAGCTATAGCTCAAATCCCAGAGACTTACAATTTCCCTAATTCCTTACAGTTCTCAGAATGAAAGATAAAATTAATCTTACAGCAACTTTACTGTTAAGAAAGAATTTTGTTGGCTATTAGGTAAAATTCAGTATTGCCACAAAAAAAAAGTTTGTTTTTTTTCAGAAAATCAATTTTCGACAGGAACCCTGTTCAATTGTGCACTTCCCAGAAGACAAAACATTTGAGACATAATAGAAGCCGTCAGAGATTAACAGTAGAAATGCCAGAAAATATTGGGGGGGGGAAAGCTCAAATTCCCTGCCAGTGAGAAATACTACTCAACAATTACAGTAAAAATTCCCCCAGATCTTCCTTACCAATGTTTCCTACCTATCAAATACTTCTTTATTCCAGGGTCATCTGCGAGAAAGTGGTTACATTAGCCAAAGTCTACGGTAGTCATAGTGACAAGATAGAGCCTCAGAAATTGCACTGTAGAACTGATTGTGAAGGGATTTGGAAAGGAAGAAAGAGGGGATGCCTCACCTAGACAATATAAGTAAAAAATGGGTTTTTGGTGCTGTATGTTACAAGTTTCTTCCAGCACTCAAACATAAACATTTCCTAGTAAGAGAGAAGCCTAATCATTTCTTCCATTTCAATCAGAACTCCTGGTGACTTTGTAGCCTCACAGACCTAAGCGTTACAGAAAGAAAAAAGGTATCATATGTAATGTCTTGGAACTAGGGACACGTCACAGAGGCTGAGCTACTTTTGGTAGTTCACCAAGATTTCCACTGTCAGAAGACAGAGAAATAACTGAATGTGTACCAGGACACAGAAACATACCAAGAAGAGTGATAAAGGTAGCAATCGCACAGTAGAAAATGCAGACATAGTTACCCACTGCTTTTCTGCAACACAAATCATGCTGCTAAAAAAAACAGAATCATTGAAATATTCCTTGTCTGAACAAGCAGCTTCTACTGTTGTTACAAGAAAGGTGTGCAGCAGTGAACAAAGACAGCAGGAAGACGATGCTCTCGGTAACTCCAGCAGGCTTGGACACAACAGACCTCTGCATTAAGCTGAGATAATCTTTGTGAGGACTTTCAGCACAGTGACATGCGGGTACATTTGTGATCCTAATAATCTGAGCAAATGGGATATTTAGATTTGAATCTTGCTACGATGGCTTCTGCAAAACATTATTGGAAAGTAATTGATTGTCTTGTACAATTTGAGTGGAAGAGGGGCGAGTAAGATGTAGCCTGTGCATTATTTATAAATTCCACAACTCCGTTGTTTTACCTAATGCATGGCACAAGTGTAGGAGGGGGAAAAAAAACACACTCAAAATTAAAGGAAACAAATAAATATTACAGAATCAAAAATATTAAAAGATAGAAAATGTCCTCGTTCGTAACCTGTGAGACTATTATTTCAGTTCTCCTGAAAATGTAGAGAAATCAGAAAGATTGTTTCTGTTTCATTGATTTTTTTTTTCTAGAAATAAAACAGTTTCCAGCAGCATGGGAATTTAAAGTAAATGGAATTGTCTCTGGAGGAGTACAATCAAGATTATATTTTCTTGTTAGTTTCTTTAAAAAGAAAGTAAAAGCTTACAAACAAAGAAAAATAAACAGAGAACAACAAAATATTTTTAAAACTAAAGAATATCCCTTGTATTCTCTTCTGCAGATACTATATATTTTGGCAGTAAATTTTATTTGTGCTTGACAAAAATCAAAATTCAGCAGAGAAAAGGATAAAAGTCAATTTGATAGTTGTGTCCTGGGATTAGATTTTCTCAGTTTGTGTCTTCAATACAGAATTAGCAGAGCACCTGCCTGGAAAAACACTGAGGACATGAGCTGCCCTCAGAGGATGGCTGCCTTCACATTCTAGCTCTCGGTGACAGCAGGAAACAAGCAGCATCAATTTGGGTGCCAGCTGGGATTCTACACCACTGATGGGAGAGTTCGGACACCTCAGGCCAAGCCTGCTGAGAAAGCTGCTTGGAGATCAGACACGTGATCTGCGGGATGAGGGAAGCTGATGTTGAACTGGGGCTCTCAGCTTAGAGTCCTCTCTCGGGAGTCTCAGCCTTTCCTTCATGCTCCTACAACTATACAAAATAATAAAAAAAATAAAAATAAAAATCAGCATTTCCAAAAGCTGTATCTATAGATCCAGGGCTTGCCATTCAAATGCTGAAGAGCAACGCTAAGCAGAATCACTTGGAAAACCTTAGAAACCTCTAGTTTGAAGCAGTGGTGGGCAAGAGGAGAAGGAAACAGCCTGAAAACTGCATCCTTTCTCTCCTGAACATTCACTCTGCAAAAAGTTCAGATCAAACTCTCGTGCTTGGATTTTTTTTTTTCTGCTTTAACAAATAGGAGCTTACAAATTTTACTGGACCAATGCCCAAAGACAAACTAAGCTGTGCAAGCAACTTTCCTCTAAACAGAAGCAGTTTAGTTGCTGACAGAGGGATGGAAAGTGTCTGTGTGTTTTTAAAATGTTTTTTGGGTGCCAGATTCAACAGTTTTAATCAGCTAAATTTGCACATGTTGTGCAAATGTTGAATCTCTCAGTCAAGCCACGTTCTCCCTTCTTTTCAATGAAATCAGAACAAGAACTGTTACTTGAGGAAACAGTCACAAAACAGCATGAAAAAAAGACAATCACATCAGTTACCCCTTGTCTTTTCTGAAGCAAATTAATATCTAGCATTTCCTCTTATGCAGGGTATTTCAGTGGTCAGGTGAAAGATCTAGAACAACCCAGCCGCAATGGAAAGGAGTGCTAACATATATATTATCAACAGATGAATTAGCCAGTAACACACAAATGGGTCCTTCTATTAGGAGTTCCTCTCTTACTCTCTCTGGAGGAAAAACAAAACAAAAAAAAAAAACAACACCAACAAAACAATAGGGAAGAGAGGGAAGGGAGAGAGAAAAGATTATTCACTCTGAAGAAAGTGCTGCAGCAGACTGTAGTTTTCCAAGAGCTATCATTTCACGTCTTTCAAGCAGCCACATCCCAACATGGGGAACATCACCAAGGAAAACAGGAGTGAGGATAAATCACGGAACCTTACATTTGTCCCAGGCATAAGCAGCAAAAAAAAAAAAACCAAAAAAAAAAACAAAAAAACCCCCCACATTTACGCAAAATTCACCTCTAGGTTCTGCCGTCCTCCTTCATTTAGGGAACAGCTACAGGAGTATTTTTTTACTTTTGTCCCTGTTTCCTTCCAGAGGACTATAATCCATGAACATGCCTGTTCAGTCTACAGGAAATGAACAAGGTACTGTGCAATAGCGGTACCAAGGATTATATTCAATCCACTGTACTCTGCTTCAAAGATTTGTTCATCCATACTCCTGCCACTCTTAACCAGGTACAAATAAGTTTCAAATCCTGTTAACATTGCAGGATTAGTGTGAGACCCAATGCTGGCAGATCACAGTCTGTCCCAGCATAACAATCTTGCTGAATGTTGCAGTAGTTCAAATCCCCCTGCGGGATCTTACTCACCCTGAACAAGATTGACAGATCTTTGGCTAAATTACACTAATCCATGTCACCAATAGAGGATTCTTGTTTTTTATTCTCCAAGTCAGCTTTTGGTCTAGTTTGAAGCTGAAAAATTTGTCATTAAAATAAAAATATACATTTGAAAATCAACAGGCTTTTAATAAACGAGTCAGAAATCATGCTTTTCTTGAAAGACAGGTGAGATCCAGCTTTCAAGGCTGAAGTAACTCACAGTCATGGAAACAGCACAACAAAACTCAGTGGTAAAAGCTAATTTGATATGAAGATAAATGTCTGAGTCAATAATAATAAAATGCCCTTATTAACAAATGTCTGTTTACTCTTCTGAATTTAAGTTTGCATTTTAGTAGAAAAAAAAAAAAAGAAAAACTATGGTTTATTATTGATACTTAACCTGCTTGCATTTATTAAAAGTGTTATTTCCCAGAGAATACATTCTAAACTCTCTAAATTCTGTTGTCTCTGAAAGAGCGAGAACAGCACGCATCCACTTTTCTGGCAGTGCCTGTGCATTCTTGTACGGATTATTCAACATTATAGTTGAACAACTGATCCTTGCCAAAGCCTCTGCACATGCAAAAACGTGTCAGAAGAAATTTGTGCTAGTAAGACTTACACTGTCCTGATCTATACCCTGTCCAAGCAGCTATAACTAATGTTAATCTCACCAGAAGTCCATTCTGAGCTGAGGGTAGGAAAAGCAGGCAGATCTGCTTGCAGGTGCTATGTGCAGGGATGGATGCAGTTTCCTCTTCAAGAGTCTGCTCTCAAACTGATTGTAAGCATACTTATTCCTAAAGCTGAACAAGCCTAAACAGGAGGGTCTCTGCATGCTACTTAGAAAAAAAAAAAAGCTTACAAAATCTCTCTCCTTCCTTACAGTTTCTAAGAGATGAAGAGATAAGAAGTCTGTAAAAGAAAACCATGTTCCAGTTTTAAAGGATTGATAGTCTAATTTACAGTTTTAAAATCTGCTAAGGCTTTACAGCAATATTTCTCTGAAGTGAATCTATAAGAAAAAAAAGTGAAATTTGAGATTAAATTGGAAAAAGAGCTTTTCACATTGATGAACTAAAGCTGATGTGTTGAATTTGTATCACTTGAAAAATCTCCCCATTAGGTCTCAAAAGAGAAGGTAAATGAGAGATAAAACCGAGCTCTACAAACCCTATAAGAAGATAAAACTATGCAAATTTTCTCCTTTCCATCTCAGCAACATTTTTCTTGGTGTCACAAGGTGGTGCTCTTCCTTTCAAGTCATTCATTTCACCTTACCAGCAAACTCACTTAATTTATAGAGAAAAGCATGTTTTGACACTTGTCCATACACACTCTCACTGTACTGGTAATGAGAAAAACTTCAACTATAATGCTTTTCTAGAATAAAGACGTAGAAAAGACAAGATTGTTTACAAGCAACATGCATGACATCTTCTAAACATGGCCATCTGGACACACTAATGCATGACCAGCTCAAAGTTCTTCTACAAACTTCAGAAGACTGGATTAGGTGAGAGTTTAAAACTTGTGGATTTATGGCTGTTTAACAGCAAGTTCAATTTACCTAGAACTTCCAACTTTTTGAAAGTATTGTTCTAATGATTTAATTACTCACGCAATCAATAACACAATCCCTGTGCTGCTTAACTTATACTAAATCTATTTTACTCCATACTCGCTTACTTGTTCCACTGTTAACACAGTGAATACAATGCATAATTGCACTGAAGATATCAAGGAGCATTTGACAGAGAGACCTAGAGAGATGTGGCTTGTAGAACACACTGTGGTATTTGGAACTTGGGGGCATTAATTTGTCCAGTTAATCCTTTAAAAATGGATCACAGTACAGAAGGTATCTGCATCTCCTAATCATCTTCTGATTTATCAGGCCCTTGAGATTAGTGGGATAGATTAAGTCTCCAAAACATCTCATTTTCAACTCTCAGAAAACTCATTAAGGTAGTACCGTACCACAGTTCACAGTCTGCTGCTTTCTCCACATTCATAATTCTGGAGAAAGTTCAACAGCTTTAGATACACAGAATGTCTGAAGCACTAATCATAGGGTCATTCAGGCTAAGAGGGCATCATCATGCAAAATATGAGCATTTAGCCAAGAGATGAATGGTAACTCCAAATACCCCTGTGCTAAAACGCTACAGAGAAAAACAAACAAATCAATGCTTGCCTCGTATCTATAAGTTATGAAGATGGCCTAATGCATAAAAACAAAAATATGTCACAAGCATAATAAGCAAGATGAGCGTACAAACAATGAATGTACAGATGTTGTAGTTATGAGGAACACCAGGGAACATGGCTACATAGTTATTACACCAAAGCAGAAAAGATAGGATGCTTACCTGTATCCTAGGCTCACATATAAAACTCCAGCAGATTAGAAATCCAGAAGAGATCTTTCCCCCCTCGTAGCCAGCTCTTAAATAGGTCTAGGAGAGGTGGAGCCAGCCTCCACCCCTTCCGGCAGCACAGGAGAATTGCCTTCACCTGTGCTTCTCTGGCTGACTCATGGCTCACCTCAGGTGATCAATCAGAGGTTCAGGCTGTGATTCAGCAGTTACAATACAGCTGAGACAACAAAATATGTCAGCTAGGCCTGTACAGTAAGTTGCCAAGAGTAAAAAAACATTGCCAGGAATGTGACTAGAAACCAAAGCACTGCAGATACAAGATAAAGAACGAGATGGCACATATCTAAAGGCTGTATGGAGTACAGAGAGGAAGAGAAGTAGTGCTAAGGGAGGATGGATGAATTGAAGTCTATCATTGCCTTACCTACGCTTGAATTGCTCTCTGCAAATGCTGTAAGCACTTCAAAAATTCATACACATCAGAAAAGAAAGAAAACAACCTTCTCCCTTCATCTGATACTAAGTTAAATACAAATTCAATTTTTTTTGAGGTACTGAGGATCTCAAAAGTCATTTTAAAACTTTTTAAAACTTTTTTTAAAACTCCTGAATCTTCAGAGAGAACTAATTCATGAATATTTCTTGTCTCAGAAAATCCCATTTCTTTACTGCGTCTGGGGTATGACATATTGTGCCTATTTATTTCTACTCCTCATGTGTCAATTCCTTCCATACTACAGAGGGTCTTCCCAGCTAACAGGGAGCACAGATGATACAGATCATCAACCCAGCATTTCCAAATGCCTCTTGATTTGCCACTGAAATATGTGATGCTGTTACATGCCAACAGTGTGAACATTTCTAGCACCTTTGAAAACTAAAAGCAGAGAACAGTGTGAAGGGAAAAAAAAAAAAACAAAATAAGTACAAGAGAACAATAAACACAGTGATTATGTTGGGGTAGTTCATGTTTAATTTATTAAAACTCTCCTGCTTTTTGCTATAGGGAAGAGTTGCTGGGGAATTCCCAGTGCATTGCACCAATGCTCTGCAGCAACCAGGAGCTCTGCTGCACAAGCTTGCCTCACTGTAACAGCACCTTGAGACCTGCTCTTTAGCAAGGCAACGTCAACAGGAACATTTACTGCACTACGCAGCTCTTACCATCCAGGGGAACAATACCCTTATTCTCAGCAGCCCATCTTCCAGACACCATATTCAGCCAGAAAGTAATTGTAATCCTGTAGAAAGCTCTTTTTCAGCAGAATCAATCTATTACCATGTATCAGGAGAGGGACCAACTTTTTACAGAGTCTGGTCCTGATAGAACCAGGGGGAATGGCTTTAACTAAAAAGGGGAGATTTAGGTTAGAAGTTTGGAAGAAATTCTTCACTCAGAGCAGTGAGGCATTGGCACAGGCTGCCCAGAGACGCTGTGGTGCCCCATCCATAAAGGTGATCAAGCCTGATTGGATGGGGCCCTGGGAAGCTGGGTAGAGATGGGGAGTAGCAGTTCTGCCCATGGCAGGGGGTTGGAGCTTGATGATATTTAAAGTCCCTTCCAAACCAAGACATCCTATGATTCTATGATCAGATATGTCTGCAGGAGGGTCCAGCTTGGATACGATGGTGTGCTGGAATCTCAAGTAAAACACCTCTTCACTCTTTCATAACTCTAACGCTGAAATGAAATAATCCAACTGTTGAGTGGTCATAACTGGCATTAAAAGTGTCTCCCAGCAGTGGTCCAGACAGATAGGACCCCAGGAAAAGATGTTTATCTGCACATCTAGCTATCACTAAGAAAGCAAAGTTTAATGCTTAAAACTTACTGAATGAAGGTTTCCCTCCAAGCCTCTCACTTCTTCAAACTATTAAAAATAAACTTATCCCATATCTCACAATAATACACTTCCAAAACTCCTGGTAAATTCCTTTTTTTGATTTGGCACCTCTGAAAATCACTAGGAAAGGTGAAATACTTTAACATGCAACAGATCTAGGGATGTGTTACTCAGGTTACTCAGCTGTGCTCCCAACGTCCATTCTGCCTCTGTTGGCTTTCAAGAACAGTATGTGATATGTCTAGGGGCCGGTAAGAACCCGAAAGTGCATTCTGAAAGAATGTAGGACTTTGTAGAAGTTTGGGTTCCTTCGCCCCTGAACATAAACAAAGAAGCAACAGGGATATTGACACAGCTGCCTGAGCAAAGGACAGGAGCCACCGCTGCCAATATCGTTTCCCCTCCGGAGGCAGGTAGAGGAAGAACTTCATAGGACCTAATTAGTTTTGCAGTGGAAAACAAATCAATTGGAAAAGCAAGTTTTCAATCCTCTGTCTAACACAATAACAGGAAGCATAACATTGATTTTGGTTTGAGGTGGATTAGTCTCTGTCACGTGGTATGTGTGGGGCTCACTTTGTTTTATTTATTTTTTCCTGTCTAGAAGGTGACAACTTCAAATGAGTTAAAGCTGATTTCTAAGCCCTTTCTTCTGGTGTACTTGCTAACGGTGCACCTACAAAACACTAGAGCTGTATCTAACCATCAAAATCCCAGAGATGGTGGCCTCAAGTCTGTGTAGAGACTTAATGAGAATCCAGCATTCTTTACAGCATTTGACATGACAGTGTCTAGTACAAGAAACAAAACTTGCTAAACAATTAAACAAGAACAGTCATATGTTGCCAGACTATGTCACTTCTTCTCCTGCCCTCTCCCCACCTCATGATTCTTCTTCTGCCTTCCACCCAAGAACAGGCACATTCACCTCCATCTAACACTTTTTTCTTGCTGTAAACCCGTATCAACATTTTGGAAAATTTAATCAGAAGAAACATAGAGCAAGAAGAGATCAGTAATTGACTATGCTGTTTCTTCCTTTAAGTGAATGATTCACATCTACTGTTCAGTGATTTCTGCTAAGGTGGATCTCCATCCTAAGCAAACTTCTACTAGCCAGAGAGCAGTTGGGATTTACAGTATGGCACATGAGGAAGAGTGATCAAATGAATTCATTTTACAACTTTTAATTAAATAATATAAAGAAGCAAACATCAGAGGAAGCCACAAGAAAAATGTAATTACACCTCTAATAAGCAAGTCAGCAGTTTCAGAAAAAAACAACAATGAACACAGAATTTGTCTAAAAAATACCAGTGCACACAGTAGAATAAATATTGCAATGTAATTATTAAAAGATTACATGAAAGAACTGATGATGCTGATCATTCCCAGAAAGCACAGGAGTATAAGCACATCAAAGAAGCACACGCAGAAATATCAGGGCATTCAATCACCAGCTGTAATAATTTAAAAAATAAATTTTAAAAAAGCACCCCCCGAAAAAAAACCCAAAACCAAACCAAACCAAAGCAAAAAAAAAACTAATAACAAGCAAACAAAAAAAATCAACACCATACAGGTTGAATCAAGAGGCAGAATAATAATTAAATAAATAAATAAAAAACAAATAAAAAACAAAACCACAAAAGGTCTCCCATCTGAAAATGTGACTGGATGTCATCTGTGAATGATGAGCCCCAGCTCAAAAGGCAACAAGCAGAAGCTCTCGTTGCTGCTACTGCTCTTCCATCCTTTGAGGATACTGCACAAGGATGACAACCCACCACTGAAGCGACTGCAGAAAATTAGAGCTGAAGACATAATTCTCTCTAAAAATGGGAGCTCCTACAACATTACCAGACAGCTGTGATCTTCACTACTTTCTGAACAGTCACAGAAGTGATACACTAGCTCCCAAAGTCTGTCTTTTAACACATGAGTAAGTCCCAGGTGCTGCCAGCACTCAGAGCCAGCCCAGACTTTATTACCCAGCTTTGTAGAAGCCCAGATGTCTTGTTCTGTGCAGCACAAGCCAAAGGAAGACCAGACAGACTGTGCCTTTCTGCAGGATTCTACCGCTTGATAGTGAGAAGATGGAACACGTCTCCCTCCTTGTCACAGGCTACTTAAATAACAGATACCTGTTTCATGCATTTTCTCAAGCGCCCTGGCAAAGCTTTCATTCCTGTACTTTTACATCAGTTTATCAAAGTCTAGGCGGTTCCTAATACATAAAGCAGACACATGCCATAAATCACAATATATGAACCGTATTGAGCTGTCCTCATATTTATATAGGTATTGTAATAAGAAACCATGTAAGAATACATTTTTCTAGATTGTTTCCTGTCAGAGAACTGCACGCTCCCAGGAAGGTAACAAACAGACCTATGAAAGAGTATCCTATGTAAACTGTACCCCAAGAGCAGTTCCTGCTGACTTCTGATAAGAATTATACTCACAGCAGCTCCTTTTTCTTTCCAACTTAACAACATCTGCTGATAGTTTGGAAGTTTGAAGAGTGATACAAAGACTGTAAGAGCAAAGGTTCTCAGTGACCTCGATCTTGAGACACCTTGAACATGGCTTGCATTAAATCTCACCTAGATGCAAGACACTTAACGCTTCAGAAAGAAAAAAAATGAAGAATACCTGTCCTGTGATAAATCCCAGCAACTACTTTTTTCTTGAATTGCTGCAATTTAAATATTTTCCACTTAATCTCCAGCTACCAGTTTCTAATATTTCTGGGGAAAAGAAATTAAACTAATAAACTAATAAACATTTTTAATGAAAAAAAAAAAAAGTCTATCAACATTCCTCATATGAAAATACGTACTCTAGCTATTTTAAATAGACTTTATATCCTTTGCCTAGAGCTCAACATTAAGCTATATTTTTTCACAGTGGCACAGTAGCTCCTGGGTTTTGAAATTCCTAAGTATTGTAATCTACAGTATGCTATGTAACCCAAACTCCTCAACCAGACTCCTCCTACCACAATGCATTTGCACTTAATTGTAATAAAGAATAGTAATGTTCACTCAGGAAATCTGTGCTGCACTATGGCAAAGTAGTCTGGAGCCTGAACAATTCCCCAAAGGATTTGCAGATAGTTCAACCCAGTGTTAAATGGATTCATCTTCATTCGACTTTAAAAGTCTTGAGGGAAAGAGATGTTTAA